TGATTCACTCAACGAGTTAAGCTGCATGAACAAGTTCTGAATTCAGGGGCTCTAATTCCAAAAGTCCAAAATAACGCCAACTGAGACAAGACTTCGGAAACCCAAACTATTCGGAAGCAATGGTTTCCTTCCAAATGACCGTTCATTATCAAGTTTTAATCTGGCAAGCTGTGAAACGGTAACAAAACAATAATTATGTACACACAGTCACTGACATATTGGCAACGACCTTTCTTGCAAAGGGCAACATTTATTCTGAGTTTTCGGGTTTCAGCAGTGCTAAATATAGGGCGTCCTAAAAAAATGTATACACACTTCACCAGCTCATAACTCACTGAGTTTCCACTCCTTTTCAGGTTTAACTGATCTGAAATCAGTTAAGCCAGACTAAGCTTTGAACAAAGAAAATTTATCCTAAAGTGCCACTAGATGTTTTTTTTTATGGGGATACATAAAAGATAAAGTTTACGGTACAAAACCAACAACAGTGGACGGATTGAGGGCGCACAAATACTGAACGAAATGATTCTTGATTCCATTGCTTCCTGTTATCAGCAGTGCCTGGACCAGAATGGTCATGTTTGAAAACAGGCATTGGCAAAAAAAAAAAAAAAAAAAAAGTATTCATTTCTGTAGAGTCTTTTAAATTGGGAAATGAACTGTATGTTAATAAACACTGACTTGCCCTGGCCGGTTTGGCTCAGTGGATAGAGCGTGGACTGAAGGGTCCCAGGTTCGATTCTGGTCCAGGGCATGTACCTTGGTTGCGGGCACATCCCCAGTGGGGGGTGTGCAGGAGGCAGCTGATCGATGTTTCTAACTCTCAATCCCTCTCCCTTCCTCTCTGTAAAAAATCAATAAAATATTTTTTTAAAAAAAATAAACACTGGCTTTATAATCACTCAAAGTGTGTATACATTTTGGGGGGACACCCAGTGTAGAGTATTTTCTGAAGTGATGGTGGCGCGGGTAGTCTAAGTTTGCTTTTTAAATACCATTATATTACAAAATTAAAGGATGGGACTGGGCCCCTCCCTCAAGGGAGAGAAAAAGGTGCCCAGAAGTCCGGGAGCCTCTGCTCCAGGCATGCCTCCAGGTGTTTCTGGGCATCGGCCTCCGGGAAGATTGGGGACCCTGGCCGCCCGGCTGCGTCCCCCCAGGGGCGACAGGGGCGAGGGGACTCGAGCACCGGGCTCCTCGGCGCTGCCCCCCAAACCTCCCCGCGCCGCAGCCGCCCAAGTCGAGGCCGCAGCGCCCGCCTCCACTCCGAGCCGAGGAGGGACCGCGCGGCGGTCAGCGGCGGGGACGAGGGCGGGCGAGGACAGCGCACCCGGGCCGCCCTCCGCGCATGCCCACCCGGCCCCGCCCTCCCCGCTCACCCGGGCTCCCGCGGCGGCTCCGGCTTCGGGCGCCGTCGCCTGGGCGCCGGGAGGTGACTTGAGAGCTAGACGCGCCGGCAGCCAGCGGAGGCCCGGTTAATGGGGAGGGGGGGGAGGGGGGTTCCGCGGGTTCCGCGGGTCCCGCGACTTCCGGCTGCTCGCCACGCCCACCCCAACTGTCTAGGTCTAGGAAGCCACATCTCTATGGTTCCTCGCTTTTTCCAGGGGAGGCTCCGCGTGGCTGAGCTTGGGGGCCCTTGGGTCTCGGTTCCCCCCAGCGAATGAGTGGGAGGGCTGCAGCGTTTCGGACACGAAGGATGCGGGGAGAAGCACACGGCCTATGCCCTCGAGACGCCTGTGGCCTCCAGAAGGAGCTGGGCCCGTTTTCATTTGCATGTAAATTGAGGTTGTTTGGGAGTCATTTCTCATATGGACCTCCTGGGCACCTTTTCCTCTCTATTCTTGAACCTATGCATTTCTTACCGTGAGTAATAACGTGGCTTATCAATGACCCCCTCGTAAATTCATTTACTTGTGGGTGTATCTCTTGCCCAAGTGATGAGATAATGTACCACCTTACCTCTGAGAAGTACGATCAACACAACTCCTGTGTTTGTGGTTTCCCTGTCCTACTCCGTCTTAACTTGGCAGGAGGGCACAGTTATCTCCCTTTTTGGGGAGGTAAGAATTATACCAGATCCTTTGTCATTGATCAATCACATACCAATTTGCATTAAAAGCAACCCTGGCAGAGTGGAGTTTGTTTGTTTTGGTAATCCTCACCAGTAGATATTCTCCCATTGATTTTTAGAGAGGGAGGGAGGGAGGCGGGATAGGGGTGAGGCACATCGATTGGTTGCCTCCACCACACGCCCCTACCAGGGCAGGCTCCACCCTGCAATCCAGGTACAGGTCCCTTGATGGGGAATTGAACCCGCAAGCCGTTGGTGTCAGCCTGACACTTTAACCACCGAGAAACACCAGCCAGTGCATGAGTGGAGTTTTATAGAAAGTTGAGAAACACCTTAACATTCAGACTGGGATCTCCATACTAGTTGATCAAGGTTCTGAGATCTTAGCCCCACCTTGAACTGTCAGCACTCTGCCTACAGCATCTTCTCAGATAACTGTCCCGATGATGTTTATGCTCTTATACCAAGCTAAACATAACTTTGTTTCCTCGGATAAGGTCCTATGGAAAATATCCACAACAAAGGACAAATCTCAGTCACCCCCAAAGGGCATTTATTGGGTTGACATATCCCTGAAGATACTTACCAGGGGTTTTCAGAGAAACAGAACCAATAGGAGATGGATGTAAGAAATTGGCTCACACGATTATGGAGGCTGAGAAGTCCCAAGATCTTCAGTCCACAAGTTTGAGACCCAGGAGAGCCAAAGGTATAGTTTGAGTCCAAGTCTAAAGGTCTTAGAACAGGAAAGCTGATGGTGAAAATCCTAGAATGAGCCCCAAAGCAGGAGAAGACCAATGTCCCAGCTCAAAAACAGGCAGAAAGAGAACAAATCTTTCCACTACATTTTTGTTCTAGTCGGGCCTCCAACAGATTGGATGAGGCCTACCCGTATTAGGGAGGGCAATCTGCTTTACTCAGCCTACTAATTTAAGTGCTAACCTCATCCAGAAACACCCTCATAGACACATCCAGAATAATTTTTAACCAAATATCTGGGCATTCTATAGTCAAGCTGGCCTATAAAATTAACCATCACATCTAGATTCCTCCAACGATAGTTTAGAGCAGTGGTTCTCAATCTTCCTAATGCCGCGACCTTTAATACAGTTCCTCATGTTGTGGTGACCCCCAACCATAAAATTACTTTCATTGCTACTTCATAACTGTAATTTTGCTATTGTTATGAATTGTAATGTAAATATCTGATATGCAGGATGTATTTTCATTGTTGTAAATTGAACATAATTAAAGCATAGTGATTAATCACAAAACAATATGTAATTATGTGTTTTCCGATGGTCTTAGGCGACCCCTGTGAAAGGGTGGTTCGACACACACACACCCCCAAGGGGTCGCAACACACAGGTTGAGAACCACTGGTTTAGAGTATTAGTTACAGAAGAGTTTATCTAGGCCCTGAAGGGCACCCATGGTGGATAGATTCTGGTCAGTGTCACTTAGAAGAACTCAGATTTGGATGTCCATCTTGGAGATAACCCCCACCCACATCCCCACCACCACCCACCTTTACATCCTCAGGGACAAATCTTGTAGGAATGAGGGAACTCATAATAAAGGGAAAGTTGAAAAAGGGGACAAGCCGCCTGAGAAAAGCCAAACTATTTCTATTCTAATTGCATCATGGTCAGTGTAGAGGACATCAGTGCACTGTCTGGATTCCTCTAACTTGTCCCCTTCTCCCCAGCTCAGTGGTGGTGCAGACTGAGAGCCCTCAATTGCCTGCCCTCTCCAGGAACTATCTTAGTTCCAAACACAGTGAACTGAAGAAGTCTACCTCACCCAAGATCATGCTTCCCCCTTCCTGGTAATGTGGTAGAGCTTGTATTCAATGACTTGTCAACCAAGGGGTATACAGGCTCAGACTTCTCAAGTTTGGACAATTTTGAAAGGTTATCCCAGTCTAACTGAGGCTGAAGCCAACACAGGCGACATGAGTAATTCTGTGACTGCGGCACAGCTAACTTCTCCCACTACTAATCCCACTTTCTTCCTTCCCTACAGCTGTTAGGCCCAGTAACACTCTCCAGTAAATTTGCTGCATGTTATCCGGTCTTGAGTTTACCCCCCAGAAAGCTCAACTGAAACAATGAGATAACTCAAAATTTTAAATTATGTTCATTTTTAAAATAACTGTTTCATGTATACTTAGAAATGTATGTGCCTAATTTCATGTTACTTTCACAGGGGTGTAGCCCTATATACATCTGGGCAGCTTCTAGAGATCTCAGTTCCAATTCTCCACCTCTTCAAAGCCCCAAAACTCAAATCCTGCCCTTGCAGCCGGGAAAATCTCAGTCCCTTGGACCAAGATCACTAAACTGCCTCATGTCACCCAAGGCATCATCACCCATTTCCTTTCTGGCTTCCACTTCATTTTAGCCTCTGAGGATTTATGTCACTTTCTTAGAAGTCCTTTTAAAGGATGTTTAAGTTTTATCTAGTATTTCAGATTGTTTGATAGCCACTCTCTGTAAACTGGTTGCAAATTTATCATGATTATACCAACTTTGGTATGTCTCAATTTTGTGATCCACAGGCTCTTCTGAGGAAAAATGAGTCATTAGTACAAAAACAGTCCTGTGAGGAGAGAAGGCTCCTAATGGAATTTTTTCTTCAATCCCCACTGAGAAAGTTTTGTTTTATACAGATTCCTAGGCCCTGCTCCAGATGTGCTGATTTGGTGGGCCCAGGGAAATTTGTTTGAATATATGAAATTACCTCCTGTGATTCCCAGATTTGGGGTCCACTGGCCTTAGTTTCAAAGACTGCTTACAGCTTTTGCATGTCTGCAATCCACAGACTGTGCCATGTGGACTTGAAATGGTCACTGGGAGGAGTGAGAACCAGTCGGGTCCTGTATCTACGTGTCAGAAAGGAGTCTGCCATCTCCTTTTTCACCCCTCACAAACCTACCTTCTGAAGCCAAAATGGACTTTGGGAACATGGCAGGTTTCATACCACCAAGGGAGGTCCACGTAATAGTACAGGTTTGAAACTCAGGTGAGGCCAGAGAGGAGGTGGGACAAGTGGCTGTACAAGTCCTCAAAGAAACTAACAGAAGACACAATCTAATGGTTCGTGAGGTTTCATTTACATATTTACAAGTATGAAAACAAGCTTGCATTTGCATCAAAAACAAACCAGAATCACTTCTTTATTCAAAAAATATCTGCTTAAAGAAAAGCAAACTGAACTGTTTGCTTCCCATTCTGAACAAAGGAAGGAAGCGAAAAGAAAAAGAAAAATCGGTGATATTTATAACAAGTAAATAACAACAGATATTTATTGGCAAAATTATAACTACTTCCTGCAAAACAGTTTTATGACCAGTTTTATGACTTCAGAGGTGATTAAAAACAGTCTAGTTTCTAAAAACAATCTAATAATATGCGGATACTATTTTATCTATATTCGATTAAAAAAAAAAAACAGTGAAGTCTGTCGCTGAGGATACAGAGTTAAAATGTAGTCTTCTGGGATTGAGATTCAACAGAATTACTCAGAAAAGACAAATAGCATATTCCTTATAAAACCATGATGAAATAACCACCTTTCACCGAAGTGGCTACTCAGAAGAATCCCAACTGGTCTCCCACTCACATATAAAGCCAACAGGGTGGGCTGAGGCACTTTGGTATAAGGAAGAAAGCACAGACTTGAAAGTCAGATCTGAGTTCAAATCCTGACTCCAACCACTAATTAGCCCATCGCCTAACCTCACTGAGACTCAATTTTCTTGTACAAAAGTTAAAAGGATTAAATAAGATAACACCTCCTCAAAAGTTTCTGAAACAATACATTACTATGTGCATAAGACAAATGGCATTAGGCTTAGGGATTCACTGTTGGCAAAGAAAGAGGAACAAATGGCCGAGTTAAGTACGGGGAGATGCTAAGTGTTTCTGGATGGATTTTGAGCTACGGACTTGAAAGTTTAAAATGCTGGTTGAAAAGGGTCTAAGGCAGTGGTTCTCAACCTTCTGGCCCTTTAAATACAGTTCCTCATGTTGTGACCCAACCATAAAATTATTTTCATTCCTACTTCATAACTGTAATGTTGGTACTGTTATGAATCGTAATGTAAATATATGACATGCAGGATGGTCTTAGGCAACCCCTGTGAAAGGATCTTTTGACCGCCAAAGGGGTCGAGACCCACAGGTTGAGAACCACTGGTCTAAGGCCTTCTCAGAGGGCTGGACCTAAAGAAAGGCAGAGGAAGCCAGTGAGCACCTACAGAAGTGACTGCTCAGCATCCCTTCCTCCTTCTGGAAAAGGCTTTCCTCAATGATAAAAGGAGAGAGGAGCCAGATGAGAAAGTCGCGGCCCCTTTCCTCAAGACATCCTGAGTTTGAAGGAGTTGTGGGAAGAGCTTGAAGCTGTGGCCATCATCCTGCAACCATGAGGCTGCAAGAAAAATGAAAGCCACTGTGCTAAAATTACGCAGTTAAGATGGAAGTTTGATAAACTGCTGAGTTGCCAAACAAAATGTGGAACTGTTTACCTCTAGACTTGCCCTTAAGTAAACAATGTCCTTAAGGTTTCAGTACTTGGCATCGTGTTCATTACACCTGAAAATATCCTAAATGCCACCTTAGGGAAAACTCTTCTGGAATCACTCTTGCCAAGTGTTTAGAAACACCGCTTCAACGTCCTACACTTAAGCAATTATTATTTACCGCATGCTGAGTTTGTCACGTTACACGCGTTATTATCTCATTTAATACGACAATCCTGTGAGGTAGGTAGTCAGTCCCTTTTTACAGATACATCTGAAGCTAGAAAACTGACAAGCTAGCGTGTCAATTTGGGAATAGAACACGTGGGTCTCTGAACCCAAAGTCTACACTTTTAGCTACTAAACTCTACATAACAGGTGGACGCATCTTCTCCTGCTTTTAGATTGTGCTATCTCTTGAAAACTTATGGACCTGCAATTGTTTCAGTTTCATAAGGACACGTGTTGCTGGTTTTGTAGACATATTGAGAAGATGGAGCCTTGGCGGATCTCTATTATCTGCAGATCCATCTACAACTGTGGGAGAGGAGGATACAGTAAATGTTTGCTGTGTTCTATGAACCTAACAGTGTGTAAATGGATATACATTTGATTGACAACTATAAAGTCAGCTTATCTTAAAGCTGACAAAGGCCAAGGACTGGTGTTTATGCTTTTACTAAACAGGAAACAGGCTCTAAAAGGATGGGACTTGCTCATGGTTGCACTGCTACCATGTGCCAGTGTGTGGATTTTAGAGTCTGTGTTCCATGCACCTTTCCTGTTTAGTGAAAATGAGCATGTACTCATTGCATTTTTAAAATACCATCTTTTCACCTAAATATAAAACTAGTACATTCTCATGGTAGAAAATCTAAAAAAAATACAGGAAAGTATAAAGAAGAAAATATAAATTATTTATAAGCCTGTCACCCAGAAATAATCACTGTTAAGACTTTAGTTTGGTATTAATTTCTGCTTTTTCCCTATACATAGATGTATTTTGTTTTGTTTATAATTTGGATATTTCTTTTTTTTTATCTTCCTCTTTATCCAGATCATTTCCCCCATGGCATTAAATATTCTTTACGAATCTTTACAATGGCTGCAAAACCATTCTATGGATAGACTGTCATTAATTTAAACCCTGTACTGTTAAAAACCTAGTTTTCTTCCTTCAATTATATACCTTGCTGGTATGAATTTCTCTTCTGCTAATCTGTGTCTGGTTCTGACTACTTTCCCTTTATGGATTTTCAGAAATAGAGTTAAGGTTGATGATACTGAAAAACTGCTTTTCTGAGAAGTAGCAATTAGTCTTCCTACCAACAATATATGTTATTTATGAGGTTTCTGTCTCCTCAGTATGTTTTCTCTGGTGTTGAAGAAGTTGTGAGCTATAACGATAGGCTTTCCCACACTCCCTGCATTTATAAGGTTTCTCCTTAGTGTGGGTTCTCAAATGTAGAATAACTTGAGAAGTCTGCCTGAAGGTTTTTCCACATTCGTTACATTTATAGGGTTTCTCTCCAGTGTGAACTCTCTGATGATCAATAAGGTTTCGATTAGAAGTAAAAGCTTTCCCACACTCATTACACTTGTAAGGTTTCTCTCTACGATGAAGTCTCTGATGTTCATGAAGGGTCTTCCTTAAGATGAAAGCTTTTCCACACTCATCACATTCATAAAACTTCTCCCCTGTGTGAATTCTCTGATGGTCCAGAATCTTTGTATTAGACACGCATGTTTTGCCACACTCCTTACATTTGTAGACTTTTTTCCCTTTGTGCATTCTCTCATGTTGAGTAAGGTTTGAGCTATGGCTAAAGGCTTTCCCACACTGGATACACGTGTAGGGCTTCTCCCCAGTGTGAACTCTGTGATGAGAAATGAGACCTGAACTCTGACTAAAAGCTTTCCCACACTCCTTACATTCATAGGTCTTCTCCCCACTGTGGATTCCCTGGTGGCGAGTGAGGTGGGACTTACCACTGAAAGATTTCCCACATTCACCACATGTGTAGGGCTTCAGTCCAGTGTGGATTCGCCGATGGACAACAAGGTTGGAGCTGTGACTGAAGGCTTTTCCACATTCCTTACACTTATAGGGTTTCTCTCCAGTGTGGATTCGCTCATGCACTATAAGGTTTGCACTCTGACTAAAGGCTCTCCCACACTCAGTACATACATACTGTCTCTTTTCAGCCTGAATTCTGTTGGTTGTTGCAGGCTCAGAGCACTGACTACCATCTTTTTCAGATTCTTGGTCACTCACTTCTGGAAGTGTCTTATTGTCTTTAACCGTTTTGTGTTTGAAGCTTCTCATCTTTCGCCTCATTTTCTCTTGCTTAGAGCATCCGGTGGCCTTCTGAGTCTTCTCTTTCCGTTCAGTGGAGCTTTCTAGATTTTGACTTCCTTGGCAATATCTCTGTGGAGATCTCTTGAATGTATGAGATTCTGATTTTTTCAGGAATGATACTTTGGGATCAATACCTCCTCAATTCCAGTTTCACCATCTGACAGAGGAAACAGAAATCTGACATGTCACCTGTTCTCCATACTAGTGGAAGGAGAATTGTCCTAGGATAACAAGATGTGGTAGACCATAGGGTCTCACATGGAAGGGTTAGTGTTCAAAGGCAAGGGGAACTGATTTTTAAAAAAATGAGAAAATGAGGTTAGATATACTAATAGAGGCCAAGGTAAAGGCTTATGGACCAATAGGCCCAGCATCAGAATGAGCAATGAGTAGTATAAAATCCACCCTGGTTTCTTCCTGTCTCTTGTTCTACTCCCAGAATTGGAGCCATCTAACTCCTAATCTAGTCCCAGTAGAAAACGAACTGAAATATCCTTAGTTCAGTAATTCAAATGACTAATCTTCAGATCACTGGCTTTTAGTTCTTGTTGACCTATGCCCCTAGTACTAGTGATACAGTGGCTGGCACAAAATAATTAGTTTCTCAAGGATTGTGTCTTAGGGTGTGCCGAAGATTTCATTTTTTTGCTCTAGTTACTAGACGCCTGTCTACCTTGGGCTCTGTCTTGATAAGGAGTAACATAATTCTTGAAATATTGGAACCAAGTCACACCATAGCCTACTCTGCAGGCCTGGTCCGTAACTGGATCCAGCTATATGTGCTAATTCAGACTGTCTACTTTGCTCCAAGCTCTCACTCTGACAGACTGAGTCTTACTGGGTGAACCTGAGAGGCTGAACAGGGAACACGATTAGTTAACGCACAACAGGGGAAAATCTCATAGGGATAGGGCCTCCTTGCAAGGCATTATGATAAAGTTTCTACAGAGGGCAAAAGGGTGAACGTAGGAGATAGTACAATCAAGAGGGGCTGATCATGAAACCAGGAATGATCAGGAATTTCCCTACAGATTTTTGCTTTTCATTTTTATTGCATTTATTGGGGTGACATTGGTTAATAAAATTATATAGGTTTCAGGTGTACAATTCTATAATACATCATCTGTATACTGTGTTGTGTGTTCATCATCCCAAGTCAAGTCTCCTTCCATCACCATTTATCCCCCTTTGCTCTCTTCTACCTCCCTACAGGTTTGATGTGAAACTCTAAACATATATGTAAACCTAACAGACCTCAAAGCTAGAGGAGTTTGGGTCATAAAAGAAAACTGAAAAATGACCTCATAATACTAACACGACTAATTTTCCTTTTACTATGTTCCTTTCCAGACTTGTCTATATTCATATTTGTATAGTTATAAGTATACAGTAAATATAATTTCACAGCTTCTTCCACTTAAGCTTTTTAAAGTATTTTCCCACATTGCTATTTAATCTTCCTATGATCATTTTATGATGACATATATACTGCAAACTTAATTCATTATAATTGACCACAACTTTACTAGTGTTAGACATTTGTTTGTTCCCTGCAGTTTAATCACTATCAATAATGCCATCCTGGTCACTTGCTACATATAGTTTTCTTCCTATTGAAACATATTCCTAAACAGTTCCAAAAGTGAGCTATTGGGTCACGAGGAATGAAATTGTTTTGGTTTACTGCCTACCGATACTCAAAAAAGTTGGCCCAGTTTCCAGTGCTTTCTGATAAACTGAGTTACATTCTCTAAAGGATGAACATAGCCTATGGTGAATGTTCAAGACCAGCAAGAAGAGAACTGTGAAGGTTGAGGTTCACATCTCAAGTTTGGGTACCACTGATGCCATTCACAGGCACATATACACAGACTCATGCCCAAAATAAAAAGGGTAGGCAGAGGAAATGGTGGAGAGAGTGGACTTGCCAGATCCTTAGTGCACTCACTGCTGCTAGGTCTCCTAATCAAAGAGGAGCAGGCAGGGGGCAGAAACTCAGTGAGAAGCCAGGGGACTGCAGAGCAGACTGGGATAGCGAGTGAAGCTGCCTGCAGTTCTCTCTGAGGAAGGTGATGCTTCTTTCTGAGTTTCTTTTCCATCTTCTCTGAAACTTTCTCTTTTCTTCATACATTTCCTAAACTTGTAATTATTGAGCATTCTACCCTGCACATAGTTCTGTTCTAGGTCAAAGGGAAAATTTTTAAAAACACTGTTGGAGAAAAGTAGAAAATAACTCTTTGTGATATGAATGAATAGTTGGATGAATAGGTAAGCAAGTTTATATCTTTACTGTTAACCAAGGCCTCCGGTTTTGCTGGCAAACTATCTTCTGCTAACTTGTATTATTTTTTTACCTCTTCTTTTTACAGTATTACTTATGAAATGTTGGAAAATTATTTTAGAGGAAGAGACACCCATAATTACTAGAATAAAGCATTTTAGAGACTGAGAATGAGACAGGCTCAGGTGTCTTGCTGATCCCAAGTGCCCCACTTAGCTAGTACCGGTACAGTAGCTATTCTGTCCTTAAAGGCTGCTATGGAAAAGATCAGTCTCCAGCCTTCTGGAGAGGGGCAGCCAGGGAAAATGTTAATAGCCAGATATTTACATAGCTCTGTCACAAAGCAATAAATACCATTACTGAATGCCCCCCAAAAATACTGTTAATCATTGAATGTGTTCCAAATTCATATGTTGAAGCCCTAATCATAAGGTGACTATATCTGGAGAAGTGATCTCTACAACGATAATTCAGGTTAAATGAGGTCATAAGGGTGGGACCCTGATCTGATTAGGATTAGTGTATCTTTATAAGAAGACATATGAGTACAATTTCACTTGCGATTCTACCCCATGTACAAAATGAGGAAAACCATGTGAGCACACAGCAAGAAGGTAGCCATTGGCAAGCCAGGAAGTGTCCCCACCAGAAACCAAATCAGCTGGTCACCTTGATCTTGGACCTCCAGCCTCCAATAGTGTAAGAAAATAAATGTCTAGTGTTTAAGCCACCCAGGCTGTGGTATTTTGTTACGGCAGCCCGAGCAGAATAAAAAAAGTATGAAATATATACTGAAGGAGCTTACAATGGAGTAAATGACAAAACAATAAGAAAGCAAATTATAAATCCACAAAGTCCCCAATCAGGAGACGAAAGGGGCCAGAGGAGGGAGTGATTACTGGGATGCTTAAAATGCTTTGGAAAAGGTGCTTTAAAAAGGCTAGACTTTGGCCATAGCAAGTTTGGCTCAGTGGTTAGAGTGTTGGCCTGTGGACTGAAGAGTCCCAGGTTCGATTCTGGTAAAGGACATGTACCTTGGTTGCAGGCTCCTTCCCGGCTTGGGTCCTTGTGAGGGCGCATGCAGGAGAATCCAATTGATGTGTTTCTCTCACATCCGATATTTCTCTCAGTCTTTCCTTCTCTCTAAAAATCAATGAAAAAATATCCTCGGGTGAGGATTTAAAAAAAAAAAAAAAAAAAAAAGGCTAGACTTTGGCTGAGCCCCAGAAGACAAGGAATTGTTTTTCTTGAAGTTAAGACAGGGACAGTGTAGTCAGAAATAAATGGGAGATTATACTATTACATGAAGCTTCATGAAGGCAAGATTTCTGTTCATTTTGTTCACCAATGTATTCTTAGCACCTCGCAAGCACTGAAAATGTTTTGTTGTTGTTGAATGAATAAGTGAAGGAATGAAAGAATCAAATTGCCTGAAATGATAGCATCTAGAACACTGAAATTATGGGGGGGAAATTATGGATATGATTTGATGGTCAATAGGAAACATATTCTGAACAGAGGAATGAAATCTATCTTTAATTTTCTTTCCCCACTCCACGAAAGCATCCCAGTTGGTAGGATAAATTTGTATCATCCTACCCAAAAATGAAACCAGAAAAAGAATACTTTAGGAGGATTAACCCAGATGGATTAAAGGTGAAAAAAAGAAGGAAAGAGGAAAGGAAAAGAGTTGGGAGGCAACCTTAGAATGCAGTATGGGTGACCATTAGAGGCCTGCCACTTTCTAGGTGCCCAGTAAATGTTTGTTGAAGAAATGAACACACAAATGAGATAGTGAGGTCGTAGGCTAGGAAAATGACAGGATGAGAGAACAAAGAAATTCAGCCGTTACAGGGAAGCAGACACATATATCAGACTAAATCTAGAGGATGACTGAAGAAAGAATTAAGGTCATCAGATCTAGGTCTGAATGGTAGTGTCACTAAGAGAAATGGGGATGTGGGAAAACACTTTTGACAAGAGGAGGAATATGTCAGGAAGGCAAATTTGAGAACGATCAGACAAAAGAAGTCACAAAAAATGTATAAGCTTGCTAAGATGGAGATCTTAGTTAGAAGGGCAGGTAGAAAGAAAGAGAAATGCACAAGGATGTGCTATACTGAAGCCCATGGTGGTTCTGAGGGACCTAACAAGGAAGCAAGACTTGTCAGGAGATGAGAGAGGACTAGTTTGAGGAAGTTTCATCAAAAGGAAACCTAACTATCTACCCTCAACCCAACTGCCTGGGAAATGCCCTTAGAAATCCTGGAATTCCCAGGGACTAGGGAGGTGGGGTCTTGGCTGGAGAAGTAGGAGGAGGAGCAGATGAGGCCAATGAGAGCAGGACATTAGGGGTATCCAGGCAGCTGTGCACACAAGCACAGTCTCAAGATAAGCAGCAAATGGATGAGGACCGATGAGTCCCCACAGGTCCCTGACCTCCCTGAGACTGATGGGTGAGAGTTCTGATCTCAGGACCACCATTCATTTCAGGCTATAAGGAACCCACAATGGGCAGAGTCCCGGCTCAGTGGATAGAGTGTTGTATTCTTTTACCTAGGGAGGTTGTATTCCTTCAATTCGCCAGGATAATCTTCCTGTTCAGGTCCCCCTGAGCTGTGGTCACATGGTCCTTGGTTACTGATTCACTGGTGAAGAATAAGAGGCAATACTTGAAAATAAATTCCAGAGAACCAGGTGATTAAAATGTAAAAATTGAAAGGAAGAAAAGAAAAAAAAGAGAAAGAAAATAAGTAACAGGGACTACTGGCTCAGGAAAGGCCTAAGCCTTAAGCATAAAACAAAGGCTGATGGCATAACAGCAAACTGATAGATGTGACCATATAAAAATTTCTATACTTCAGAAAACACCATAACAAAACTAATATAAACTAGAGTTGCCTAATACTATAACTTACTTGTGTGTATGTCTATGTCCCTCCCAACATTCCTAGGTGGCTCCCACCCACAGCCTGGCACAAAGAGGGCTCTGTAAATGCTGTGTGATTTGACATGTTCAATTAAACAAGCTCAGGATTTTACCGAATTCTATCCGAGGTAGGAATGGTGAGATCTCCGCACAGGACCATCACCACCCTTGTCTGCCTGGTGCATCCCTCTTGTGCTCCATATTGTTTGAACACCATGGCAGTGGATTTGCATTCTTGGCACTTCGGTCTCAACAGGGCCATCGAAGGGCCTAAATTCCCTAAGGGACTGACCTAGTTCAACTACTCAGATATTCTCAGAATGTCAGAGCTGGAAGGAACCTCCCAGGCCACTTAGAGTGGAGCTGGAACTCAAGTCCAAGTCTCCTGACAAATCTGAGTTCTATTACATCACCCTTACTCCCATCCCAAAACTCCACTACTCAAGGTCCAGAGGGCCCTCCCTCCCCCCCAATACAAGCATACTTCTCTCTCTCCTCCTAGACAGATATCCAGATATGCTCCCGTTCGGCCCTGGTCCCCACATTTTCTAGCAGGCAGGATTCCTGTCCACAGATGAATTAATTTCACAGTATAGGTCTCACTTGCCCAAGACAGAAGGGCATCACTCACTCTCTCCTATGCACAGCGGCCTCACTCCAGAGGATGTACCCAGCACAGATATTGCCTGATCTCTTCCTTGGGTTGGTGAGGAAGTTCCTAATGGAATCACTGTAAACAGACAGAAATGATTAGTTCTATTAGTGCTGTACTCCCAGTGGACACTCAGGGCAGTGTCCCCTCCCTGGGTACTCCCCTTCCTAGGAAGCAATGAGCAGTAAGGATGACCATTCCTATTTTAAAGATGAGGAAATGAAGCTCCCAGAGGTTGAATGACTTGTCCAAGGTCACATGACTATGAGAGACAAGCCTTCTGTGTCCATCACACCATGGTCACTCCCTTTCAGATGCTCCTTTTACACCCAAAAGTCTCTTCTAAGTGCAAAGTGCATTCCACTGAGAAGTTCTCTGCCCTTCAGCCTTCCAAGAAAAGTTTGCAGAAGGGAGAAGAGGGTCTTTGCTGAGTCACGTGCCTTTAGAGAGACAGGAGCAATAATATGGTTTTAAAAGGAGGCTAGAAGAATTTTTAAAATAACTACCCATCTCTTAGGGTCACCAGGCCTCCACATGTGTTTTGTTTCCCGCTCCAGATTCCCAGACTCTGCTTCTGGCTCCTCAAGGTTGTCCAATTTCTTCCTTACCGGAATGGAGCTCTGCGTGTGCACAACTGAAACCCAGGAGCCAGCACACTACTTAGGCAGGTGCTAAGTATTTGTGAAATGGATGAATGAGTGGTAACCCTGGGCAAGACGCTGCCTTCCTCTCTGGGTCCGTTTCGTCACAGGAACACAGCGGGGATCGGACGGGTGACCTAAATCAAACACTCAAGGCTGTAGGCTCGCTCCTTTGGGAGCCTGGGCTGGCTGAGACTCCTATTACCGGGGCGGCCCACTGGCCATGGGCGGGGGTGACACCGTTTTGTCACTACCTGCAGCCCGGTCCGAGCGGGCAACCTCGCCTCGTTGGGGACGAAACCCCAAGCAAAGGGAAAGTGCCGAACGCGGGGAGGAGGAGGCTCACGACCACGCGGGAGCTGCCGCATCCCCGTCTCCGCAGCGGGCAGCGGTGGAGAAGGGGCTCCCGGGGGCGGCCCCCCCCCCCACACACACACACACTCCCAGAACCCCGCCCGGACCCCCACGCCAGGCTGCCACGTACCCCTCGCCGAAAGCTCACATCCGGGAACAAAGCGCAGAAAGAATGCGTCACCGACACCCCACTAACTCGCAGGCCAGCCCTCTGGCTTTTCTAGGCACCGGGAGGTTTCCGCCTGCGCCCGGAAGGCTGGAGTCCTTTCGCCCCTTCGCCAGCCAATCGGGCTCGCCTGCGCTCTGGCCCCGCCTTCCGCTCAAGTTTTGCCCTACTATTGGCTGGGAGGACGAACGGGATTGGAGGGGTTCAGCCAATAGAAGTAGGACTCTGGAAGGGGTGGAGCCTGATAGAGAATTAGGTCTGGCGCAGAGGGGAACCAAGCTACTGGGCGGCCTGAGACTGAGGCTCCCTGAGGTCCCCGCCAGCTCTGCTCTGGCTGCTGAGCGGAAAAGTCATCTTTCCTTCCACAGGTCCCGCGCCTTTCAGTCTCAAAGCTAAGAGACTGTCAGCAGCATATAAAAATTACTTTTGGGGGTCTCCTGTTTGTCAGCAGCATATAAAAATTACTTTTGGGGGCCTACTATGCCAGTGTTCCAGGTTGTGCGGATACAGCAGGGAAGAAAATGAGCCCGCTGCCCCATGGAGCTTACCTTCAAGTCAGGAGAGACAGTAACTTGAGAGTTCAGTCATACTGTTTTTTTATTTTTTGTAATTATTTTATTTTTCATACTGTTTATTGATACTCTTTTTCTGCACTGTGGATTCACGGGAGGAGCAGAAGCTATGTGGTGTAACTAAAAGATTTCCATACCTATTTCAGGAATATTCTTCAGAAATGTGTGCAATAGCTCCGCATGATTGAGTTATTGCTCTCCAAAACCAAGACTCTCTAACCCATATGAATTTCTTGATGTCAAATAAGAAATAAACTATAACCACGGCATTCACACTCACAATGAGTAAACTTTGTAAGTGTAAACTCTCTGATGGGTGATGTTTTCTGTAACTGAATGTTTTCTCACACTTGAACTCAAGAATAGGTTCTTTTCCCAATTTGGAGTCAGTAAGGTAAAATAAAGGTTTTTCCTCCTTCAGTTCTTTTACAATAAAGCTGTTGGAATCAATAGAGAGCATGGAAGGAGGCTCCACTGGATCCGTAGCATTACAGCTGAGCCCAAAAGGTGAGATACAAAAGCTGGCTCTACATGGAGAGTTTTCAACCACATGAGCAAAACGCTGAGCTATTCCTTCACTTCTCACTGCGGAAGTACATATTAATAACGTAAATTTACAACTCACCTTCTAACTTCAGATCTATACAGCATTCCAGAGGACCCTAAAGGAATCAAAGGAAAACCCACTGCCCCTATTTTGGGGCAAATATCAGGACTGAAAAGCCTTCAAATTGACTAATGTGGGGGAAAATGACATATGAGGTGAATGAAAAGCCTCTACAACTTGAGGCAAGTAAAAAGACATATGAAAAAATATGTTCAAGAAAAACAGGGGAAGAAAGAAAAAACACTTAAAAAAGAACAACTGGAGTTCCAAATAAAACCAAAATAAACTTGATAATCATAGCACAAAAATTGAAAGGAAACTCAACTGTAAAACATTATGAAGATGGAGCTCTAAATACAAAAACAAAAGAGAGTAAAAGAATTTATAGAATACTAGGTGAAACTTTATCCCATCATTTGACAGCCTGGTAAAATGACGACTTCCAGATATATATTACCAAAATTAACAACGAGGTAGAAATCTAAACAGCGTAACCACTGAAGAAATAAAAATGTTGCTAGATTTGTCCCTCCCAATTCACTCCTCCCCAAGAATGGATTAGACCATTATTTTTACCCTTCAGAGTAATTCCCACATTACACAAACTCTTCCAAAATACTTTGCAAAGCCAACAAAACATTAATTTCATCTAGTTCTGTATTTTGAAAAAAAATCACCACAAATGGGTTTTATACCAAAAGTGCAAAGAAATTTCATTTATTTGGAAACTTGTCAAAAATATTACAAAAGTAAATGATATGACCCATAAAATTACACCAATAGATTTCTTTTAAAACGGGATAGAATCTAGCTGCCACCCTAATAAAAACAAAGTACAATAATTACTATAGTGTGTACTATGTGCCAAGCACTGGTTTTAAGTGCCTTATACTTACGAACTAATTTTATCCTAACATCCCTATGAGGTCGATTCATTTTATAGATGGAAGAACTGAGACACAAGGAAACCAAGTGACTTGCTCAGGATCACACACCTAAGAAAGTGATGGATTCATGATTGAACCTAGAGTTCAAGGCACAAAAATCTGTGTCCTTAACTACAATTCTACATTGCTTCTTCTAAACACAGGAATAGAAGGAAACTTTGCCCTAACCAGTTTTGCTCAGTGGATAGAGTGTCAGCCTGCAGACTGAAGGGTCCCAGGTTTGATTCTGGTCAAGGGCATGTACCTTGGTTGCAGGCACATCCCCAGTAGGGGGTGTGCAGGAGGCAGCTGATGGATGTTTCTCTCTCATCGATATTTCTAACTCTCTATCCCTCTCCCTTCCTCTCTGTAAAAAAACTCAATAAAATATATTTTTTAAAAATATAGAAGGAAACTTCATACATACTATAGAATATATATCAGAAACCAACAATAAAGTAACAGTAAGATTTCCAGAGGTACATGTAGAAGATATGAGGTCTTGGTATGTGATATTCTACGATGAGATGCCACTTCCATCTTGAAAAGCTTCTAGTCTGGTGGTGGAGACAGGGAGGTAGATTGTGCCCAATTTAAAGATGGTTCAATTGAAGAATAAGTTTTTAAAATATTGTTAACAACTAGTATATGAAAATTGTTTTCTACATACTAAAAGAAATATTTGCCGTACCCAACCTCAAAGACCCTACTACAAATTGGCATGAATGTATACACATAAGGATTAAGTTGAGAATAATTTACAAGGCAATTTAACAACAGTTGCACATTAAAGCACCAGCTAATTTAAAGTACTGAGGTCAAATGAATAAGAGGAATGAAGAAGCGTCTGAAGGTCTTTCACAGATGAGCTGGATCTAAAGGGATCTAGAAATGAGATTGATCTGGAAGATTATGAGGAACATAGATTAGCAAATGGGAAAAAGAAAAGGTTTTCTGAGTAGGGAATACTAATGTTGGGGTCTAGACTGGAGTAGAAGTTTAAAAAGTAAACAAAACAAAAAAGGTAAGGCCCTGGCCAGTTTGGCTCAATGGATAGAATACCAGCCCACAGACTGAAGGGTCCCAGGTTAGACTCCGATCGAGGGCACATATCCTGGTTGCAGGCTCAATCCCTGGCCGTGGTCCAGACACATGCAGGAACCAACCAACCACTGTGCCTCTGTCACATCAATGCTTACCTCTCTGTGTCTCTCCCCCTCCTTTCCACTCTCTAAAAGTCAACAGAGTCCTAGCTGGTTTGGCTCAGTGGATAGAGTGTAGCCTGCTGACTGAAGAGTCTCAGGTTCGATTCCAGTCAAGGGCACATGCCTGGGTTGTGGGCTCGATCCCCAGTGGGGGGGGAGGGGGGAGGGAGGGGGGCGGGGGGTGCAGAAGGCAGCCGATCCATGATTCTCTCTCATCATTGATGTTTCTATCTCTCTCCTTCTCCCTCTCTGAAATAAGTAAGTCAACAGAAAAATTTCCTCTGATGAGGATTAACACAACAAAAAAAGTAGGTAAGGAGGTATACAGCCAAGAGAAAGTAAAGAATGAATCAGAGTCTTGGAGAATGATTTATAAAACAGGAGATGTGGAATAGAATAAGATATAATCTCTGTTCTTGAAAAGCATATGATCATGGGATGCATACTGAAGAAATGAGATACATTTCTGAACAATTGAAAGAAAGAAAGAGAAAAAGAGAGAAGAGAAGGAGGAAGGAAAAAGAGAGAAGGGAGGGAGGGAAACGAGGGAGGGAGGGAGGGAGGGAGGGAAAACCCAACAAATACAAGAAACGTGTAGTCCACACTTCCCCAATAGCGGAGAAGGATTGCATTGTTCCTCCCACTCTCCACCTTCATGATCCAACAGACAGCATTTAGGGAATGGCCCACTTTGATTAATGGTTCCAAGAAGGGATAAGGGTAAACATCCTTCTTATAAATAAAGTTTAATTCAAAGTTCCTTGCTCTGTGTCTTAGAAACTTACACCTTAAGAACCTGATGAAGCCAGACCTCAGAGCTTCTCTCGAGTGTGAGTTCGAGTTCGATAGTGGTGGTTAAGAGTAGAAAGCTGACTGAAGGCTTTTCCACACTCAATACATTCATAGGGTTTCTCCCCAGTGTGAATTCTCTGATGTGCAATGAGGTGTGACTTTCGACCGAAGGATCTTCCACACTCATTGCATTTATAGGGCTTTTCACCTGTGTGAAGTCTCTGATGTCGAATAAGATTACTATTCTGACGAAAGGCCTTGCCACACTCATTGCACTCAAAAGGCTTCTCTCCAGTGTGAATTCTCTGATGGTCAATAAGATCTCTTTTAGAAGATAAACCTTTCCCACAGTCGTTGCACTTGTAGGGTTTCTTCCCAGTGTGAAGTAACTGATGTCGGAGAAGATATGTATTCCGAGAAAAGGCTGCTCCACACTTAATGCATTCATAAGGCTTCTCCCCAGTATGGGTTCTTAGGTGGTCATAGAGTTTGTAACTCACACTGTAAGCTTTTCCACATTCATTACATTTATACGGTTTCTCTCCATTATGGAATCTCTGGTGTTGAATGAGATTGGACATGTGCCGATAGGTTTTTTCACACTTGCTGCATTCATAGGGCTTTTCCCCTGTGTGGGTTCTGAGATGAGCCGTGAGCTGAGAGGTCTGCCTGAAGGCCTTGCCACACTCATTACATACAAAGGGTTTCTCTCCAGTGTGGATTCTCTGATGGTTAGTGAGGTGTGTACTCGTATTGAAAGCTCTGCCACATTCATCACATTGATATAATTTCTGTGTCTTCAGAATCTGATGTTCTGTAGGATTACAGGACAGGTTCTTATGTTCCCCAAGATCCTTATACTCATCACATCCATCTTCTGAAGATTTGTTTTTATCCTCACATGTTCTCTCCAAGAAATCACTTTCCAGTCTGCTCCCTTCCTCCTCTGAGGGTTGTGCTTCTAGCTTCATTAAAGTATCTTCACAGGCATTCCCAGCTTCTGGTCCCTCAGGAACCACCCCATGCAGGCCTCCTGATGTCCCATCAGATGACTCTGTTTCTTGAGAAATTTCCTGCTTTGGAGGCAACTCTGAATTTTCCATCCAAGTCTCACCTGATGCCAAAAGAAAGAAGAAAAAAGCATTTCTTATCCCATTGAGGAAAAAGAATCATCAGGAGTCTATTTACCTGAAAAAGCCTTCACATAAGGAATGAGGTAACAAATTGAGAACAAGAGAAAAAAATCAGAAATAGCTCAAATTTTTCTTCATGGACAAAAGACAAAGGGGGGAAAGGTCAGTGGAGGAAAATGGATGAAAATCTATCAGGATGGAGAGATGTTGAACCAGCAGTCAAGTGAGGAGAAAAATTGAAAGGCCAGAGACCAAAGCTGAAATGATGCGTGGGGAGAAGCCAAGCCTTTAGGAGCCACAGCAACCGGAAAGCATGAGGGAACAAAGGCTAATTGAGAAGGAGCCATGAGGGGAGAAAAGATTCAGAATAAAAACAATGGATATCAGTGGGAGGATATGTAGGGAGACAGCTGTGTTATGTTCCTGAGTCAACATAGTGTAAAATTTCATTTTCTTGCCCTAACTGGTTTGGCTCAGTGGATGGAGCGTCGGCCTGCGGACTGAAGGGTCCCAGATTCGATTCCAGTCAAGGGCATGTACCTGGGTTGCTGGCACATCCCCAGTAGGGGGTGTGCAAGAGGCAGCTGAATCGATGTTTCTCTCTCATTGATGTTTCTAACTCTGTATTCATCTCCCTCTCCCTTCCTCTCTGTAAAAAATCAATAAAATATATTTAAAAAAAAAAAAAAAAGATAAACCTTTCCCACAGTCATTGCACTTGCAGGGTTTCTTACCAGTGTGAAGTAACTGATGTCGGAGAAGATATGTATTCCGAGAAAAGGCTGCTCCACACTTAATGCATTCATAAGGCTTCTCCCCAGTATGGGTTCTTAGGTGGTCATAGAGTGTGTAACTCGCACTGTAAGCTTTTCCACATTCATTACATTTATACGGTTTCTCTCCATTATGGAATCTCTGGTGTCGAATGAGATTGGACATGTTCTGATAGGTTTTTTCACACTTGCTGCATTCATAGGGCTTTTCCCCTGTGTGGGTTCTGAGATGAGCCGTGAGCTGAGAGGTCTGCCTGAAGGCCTTGCCACACTCATTACATACAAAGGGTTTCTCTCCAGTGTGGATTCTCTGATGGTTAGTGAGGTGTGTACTCGTATTGAAAGCTCTGCCACATTCATCACATTGATATAATTTCTGTGCCTTCAGAATCTGATGTTCTGTAGGATTACAGGACAGATTCTTAATTTCCTCAAGATCCTTATACTCATCACATCCATCTTCTGTAGATTTGTTTTTATCCTCACATGTTCTCTCCAAGAAATCACTTTCCAGTCTGCTCCCTTCCTCCTCTGAGGGTTGTGCTTCTAGCTTCATTAAAGTATCTTCACAGGCATTCCCAGCTTCTGGTCCCTCAGGAACCACCCCATGCAGGCCTCCTGATGTCCCATTAGATGACTCTGTTTCTTGAGAAATTTCCTGCTTTGGAGGCAACTCTGAATTTTCCATCCAAGTCTCACCTGATACCAAAAGAAAGAAGAAAAAAGCATTTCTTATCCCATTGAGGAAAAAGAATCATCAGGAGTCTATTTACCTGAAAAAGCCTTCACATAAGGAATGAGGTAACAAATTGAGAACAAGAGAAAAAAATCAGAAATAGCTCAAATTTTTCTTCATGGACAAAAGACAAAGGGGGGAAAGGTCAGTGGAGGAAAATGGATGAAAATCTATCAGGATGGAGAGATGTTGAACCAGCAGTCAAGTGAGGAGAAAAATTGAAAGGCCAGAGACCAAAGCTGAAATGATGCGTGGGGAGAAGCCAAGCCTTTAGGAGCCACAGCAACCGGAAAGCATGAGGGAACAAAGGCTAATTGAGAAGGAGCCATGAGGGGAGAAAAGATTCAGAATAAAAACAATGGATATCAGTGGGAGGATATGTAGGGAGACAGTTGTGTTATGTTCCTGAGTCAACATAGTGTAAAATTTCATTTTCTTGCCCTAACTGGTTTGGCTCAGTGGATGGAGCGTCGGCCTGCGGACTGAAGGGTCCCAGATTCGATTCCAGTCAAGGGCATGTACCTGGGTTGCTGGCACATCCCCAGTAGGGGGTGTGCAAGAGGCAGCTGAATCGATGTTTCTCTCTCATTGATGTTTCTAACTCTGTATTCATCTCCCTCTCCCTTCCTCTCTGTAAAAAATCAATAAAATATATTTTTTTTAAAAAAAAAAAAGATAAACCTTTCCCACAGTCATTGCACTTGCAGGGTTTCTTACCAGTGTGAAGTAACTGATGTCGGAGAAGACATGCATTCTGAGAAAAGGCTGCTCCACACTTAATGCATTCATAAGGCTTTTCCCCAGTATGGGTTCTTAGGTGGTCATAGAGTGTGTAACTCGCACTGTAAGCTTTTCCACATTCATTACATTTATACGGTTTCTCTCCATTATGGAATCTCTGGTGTCGAATGAGATTGGACATGTTCTGATAGGTTTTTTCACACTTGCTGCATTCATAGGGCTTTTCCCCTGTGTGGGTTCTGAGATGAGCCGTGAGCTGAGAGGTCTGCCTGAAGGCCTTGCCACACTCATTACATACAAAGGGTTTCTCTCCAGTGTGGATTCTCTGATGGTTAGTGAGGTGTGTACTCGTATTGAAAGCTCTGCCACATTCATCACATTGATATAATTTCTGTGTCTTCAGAATCTGATGTTCTGTAGGATTACAGGACAGGTTCTTATGTTCCCCAAGATCCTTATACTCATCACATCCATCTTCTGAAGATTTGTTTTTATCCTCACATGTTCTCTCCAAGAAATCACTTTCCAGTCTGCTCCCTTCCTCCTCTGAGGGTTGTGCTTCTAGCTTCATTAAAGTATCTTCACAGGCATTCCCAGCTTCTGGTCCCTCAGGAACCACCCCATGCAGGCCTCCTGATGTCCCATTAGATGACTCTGTTTCTTGAGAAATTTCCTGCTTTGGAGGCAACTCTGAATTTTCCATCCAAGTCTCACCTGATGCCAAAAGAAAGAAGAAAAAAGCATTTCTTATCCCATTGAGGAAAAAGAATCATCAGGAGTCTATTTACCTGAAAAAGCCTTCACATAAGGAATGAGGTAACAAATTGAGAACAAGAGAAAAAAAATCAGAAATAGCTCAAATTTTTCTTCATGGACAAAAGACAAAGGGGGGAAAGGTCAGTGGAGGAAAATGGATGAAAATCTATCAGGATGGAGAGATGTTGAACCAGCAGTCAAGTGAGGAGAAAAATTGAAAGGCCAGAGACTAAAGGTGAAATGATGCGTGGGGAGAAGCCAAGCCTTTAGGAGCCACAGCAACCGGAAAGCATGAGGGAACAAAGGCTAATTGAGAAGGAGCCATGAGGGGAGAAAAGATTCAGAGTGAAAACAATGGATATCAGTGGGAGGATATGTAGGGAGACAGTTGTGTTATGTTCCTGAGTCAACATAGTGTAAAATTTCATTTTCTTGCCCTAACTGGTTTGGCTCAGTGGATGGAGCGTCAGCCTGCAGACTGAAAGGTCCCAGGTTCGATTCCGGTCAAGGGCATGTACCTTGGTTGTGGGCACATCCCCAGTAGGTGTGCAGGAGACAGCTAATCGATGTTTCTCTATCATCAATGTTTCTAACTCTCTATTTCTCTCCTTTCCTCTCTGTAAAAAAATCAATAAAATATATATTTTAAAAATATACATATATTTTCTTTTGTTGCTGAGGCTCCCAGGCTCCTCAGTCTCAATAAGGCCCTGCTTTCCGAAGTGTGGTCTAGCTGGTCAGTTTGTACAGGTTTCAAATAACGTAACTTATCACTTACAATAACTCGAGTGGCTCTCTAATTGTTATAAATACAAACTCTAACTAAATCACCCTAGCTCAATCCATTATGAAGTAAAGAGAATGTTGACAACTGTTAACGCTGGGTGATGGGCACAGAGAGGTTCATTATATTGTTGTTTTGTCTATGTTGTAATTTTTCATAATAAAAGTCTAAAAAGAAAAAATTTAGCAAAAAAAATGTGAAGGATGCAGATGCTAAGTTACCAGGGCACAGAATCATTACCCAGTGAGGCCATGCTACAGTTGGTTTCCAGCATGATGTTCTGGTACGGGGCTCTCTGACTCAATGTTGGATCTTCCCACTTCTGTTCAGTGTAGTCCACAGACAGGAACTTGTACACTGCAGACCCCTGCAATGACAAGCTTCTATTGCTCAGAGACAGTCCCACCCTGAAGGGCGGAGTCATCAGAGATACCGAGAGCACAGGGTAAGGGCCCTGGTGGGCAAAGAGGTGAAGCAGGGAGAAGCTAGGACACATCTAAAAGGACAAGTACAGGTCCAGAGAGAGTCCATGAACTCAGTAGGTGGCACCAAGCTCCAAGGGAAGCAAGAACATTGGAAGCCAGAGGAGCAATCTCAGAATGATCCAGTGCCCCTGAGATAAGCTCTAGCTCAGTGGTTCCCAACTTTTTTTTTGGCCATGCTGCACGTAAGCATCTCTAAAATCCTGATGCCCACCCTGTAACATATAATTCTTATTATTCAAAAAGTTAATTCTTATTCATATGGAGGAAGCCTAAAATAAAAGGCCATTAACGTGGTCTAAACAAGCTTCCAAAGAACATGGCATCCATGAAAGAGAAAATCAAAAGAACGAACGGACAGTTGAAGTACTGATGAAGAAATCACTAAGAAATTGTTAAAAAAAATAATAATATGAAGTGATATGAAAAAATAGCAGCCCTAGCCAGTATGGCTCAGTGGATAGAGCGGACGGAAGGGTCCCGGGTTCAATTCTGGCCAAAGGCACATGCCTTGGTTGCAGGTGCCTCCCTAGCCCGGGCCCTAGTTGGGCTCATGCAGGTGGCAACCAATCAATGTGTTTCTCTCACATTGATATTTCTCTGTCTGTCCCCCTCTCTTCCAATCTCTCTAAAATCAATGGAAAAATATCCTCAGGTGAGGATTAAAAAAAAAAAAAAAAAAGCAAATAAAGTTTTAAAACATATACAAGAGAACTGCAATGTGTAAATATGTCACAACACATATTTATATACTGTATATGAAGCCCCTAGAACCGTAAGAAATGCAAAAAATTCACTGTTAATAACTCATTCTCAAATTGTCCCCTCCTTAAAAATCAAATTGCCTGCTTGTGGGGCGTGGGGAACCACACTCTAGCTACTGGTATTCTGGGCCTCAGACTCAGGAACTCACAAAAGATAGACAGAACCAAGCTCACCTGGGGCCTGACCATCTGAAGCACAGTTTCTGCTGCTTGGTCTCCTATGTTCCTCACTTGGGGAAGGGCAGACACTGGGGAAGCACAATGAGCTGAAGGAGGAAAGAAATCTATGAGTGGACAAGCCCTGCCCTTGGCTTTAATAAGGTCAGTATCCCACTGAGTGGATTCAAGAGGACCCAGGCAACTCCAGTTTCTCATCCCTTGTCCATACAGGCATTATCCTAAGTGTGCTGTGAATTTTCCAAGGAGAGTGCAGTAGCAGGACCCTGGTCAAATTGAAAACTGGTCTCCCAGCCCTCACTCTCTTCAACCTCTCGTAAGGAAGCTATACTTCTGATGACTTCCTCTCCACATGGCTCCCCTAGCACCAGCCTCACCTGATTCCCCCTCAGATCTCTGGCCCCCCATTCTCTTCCTTCTCTGCCCTCTCATTTGGACACTCCAGGGGCTCAGACCGTAGTGCTTTGCTTTTCTCTCTGTCAGAGATCTCACCAACCCTCACTGTTCTAATTATGCTCTTAAGTTCTCGGTTCTTTCCTAGACCCCTTTCACAAGCTTCCAGTTGCCTGGACATTTCATTTGCTGCCCCACAATTCTTAAGTTCAGTATCTCAAATGCGTGTTCTTACCATCTTCCTTTCCTGACTTAAGTTCTGTCAATGATTCCAGACACTGTCCAAAACCCTTTAATTGCCCCTCTTCTCCCATACCCCATGGATTTTTCCTTCAAAATGCCTGTCGCATCTATCAGTTTCCACTCCATTCACCTCACATCTAATTTCCTACACTGGCCTCCTACTAAAGCTTCCCACCACTGGTCCACCCTTTGGATCAGTAGTGCTTACATGTGCCAGAGTAATTGTCCTGAACTTCTTACCCTTAACTCTAAGGCCTTGTACAAACAGACCCTAGGCTCTCAAATGCAGTCCTCCTTGACCCTACCTCAACAGGGTCCAAGGATTAACTACTTAAGAGTCTTTGTTTATATTCTCTTCTAGGTGTCCACCACCCATTTCCACCCTTAAAATTTCTCCTTGATTTTTCACTATCCAATACCACTGCTACCTCCTCCATGAAGCATCCATGTCCTACCCACCCCAGCTCACCAGTAACAATATCCACATGATCTTGCTTACAATTAACAATGTCCACATTGCTCGTTTGTGATGGCATCAGATGCCTGAGGACAGATATCACTCCTGTCTCTTAGGAGGTTGTCTCTCACACTATGACTGACTCTCTGCCTAGTAGGTAACTAAATGGCTCTTTGAAAGCAGTGACACTATACTATATATCTCTGCTGCCAACAGTGCCTTTGCCATGACAAAAACTTGCTAAATACATTAATGATTAAAGAATAAGCAAAAGGGAACAGAAAGTCACTAGGGAAGGAAGACAGAGGACAGGGCAATGAGGGATTCCAATAAGGTGGAGACGTGGAGATGAAGGAAAAGTGATTCCAGAAGAGAGGTGTGACTAGACACCAGAGCTGGAGAGGCAAGTACCGGAGTGCCCATTGGGGAGGCAGTATGCCCCTGGGTCATGAGGAGGCTCCAGGTGGGCTCCAGGGGCTGAACCGTTACTGAGTGAAGTAGAAAGAGATTCCTCTGTTGCACTCAAGGCTGTCATCTCCTCCAAATGCATTTCCTGTTTCTGTGCTGGAGCTGAAACCTAGAGACAAGGAAATACAATCAGGTTCAAGAGACCATCCTTGAAGGTACAGACAGAATCCAAAACCTCTAAGAAGCATACCAAGAAAGCAAGCCAGGGAAAGGAAAGCCAGAGTCTCTTTCCAGCCCCACCAGTACAGCCTGCTGGGGGAAGCAACCGTCTAAGCAGGATCTGCAGCTTGTAATCCTCATCCTTCCGTTGACCTTCCTGCTAGAAGCTCGAAGACCAGATTATATAACCACTTTCCCTCTGTGTCAGTTCCTCAGACACAAATTGCGTTCAGAATCATCTAGGAAAAGGAGGCAGGGAAGCAATTCAGTACATCCCGAGGACCTAAGCCTATAGAAGAGACCAAACGAAGTACCAGAAAATTAAAGAATGATAGCTGTGTATATCTGTATATGCACAAATAATGCGACTGAGGCTAACAGCTGAGGCAATATCCCAAAACAGTGGCTGACAAACCTCAAAAGAGCTTTTCCAATTTCTCTCAGCAAAAGTGTCTCCTCTTCAGAGAAACCATCCCTGACCACACTGACGAAGCACTGAGTCACTCTCCAATTACCTGATTATATTTTCTATTGCATGTATTAATCTATTACCTTATTTACACATGTATTGTATATGTCTCCCCCAATGAAATATAAGCTTTTTGTCTTGACCACTAGCTCCTAGAACAGGGGTGGGCAAACTTTTTGACTGGAGGGCCACAATGGGTTCTTAAACTGGACCAGAGGGCCGGGACAAAAGCATGGATGGAGTGTTTGTATGAACTAATATAAATTCAAAGTAAACATCATTACATAAAAGGGTATCGTCTTTTTTTTTTAAGTTTTATTCATTTCAAACGGGCCGGATCCAGCCCGCGGGCCGTAGTTTGCCCACGGCTGTCCTAGAACAATGCTGGGCCCAACATTGGTGCTCAATTAATAATATTTGCTGGCTGATTTCCTCTTGATATTTTGCTACGGGTTTTTAGGGTTATCTGCAAACTGTTTTCAATAGGGTCTACATCTCCTCAATAATTTATATTAAAGTCAAACAGGATCAGATAACATCAATTTTTAGAGACTTTGAGAATATCTCAAAGCATAGACCTTTTCTTTCTAACTGTTGCTGTTTTCATCAAATCAACTCCTCACAATCGCATGATTACTATTTTTACCAGCATCTAAATAAATCACGCTTATAAGCTCATTCACTCTGCATATACATAGTATATCAGAAGGAGAAAATAACTGCTCCTTCGATAAACCATACTGGACTTGCCCAATTGGGTTACATCTGCTGATGGGAGGGAACTTGCTTCTTTATCATATATCTCTCCAGTGTAGTGGTGGGACCAGGAGGTTCCCTGGGGTCTGTGGTGACCAGGGTCTGCACTGGGCAGATCTTATAAATGGGAGTTACAGTTCTCTTTAAAAATATATATATGTTTTTATTGATTTTAGAGAGTGCGTAAGAGAGAGAAACATCGATGGGAGAGAATCAACAATAATTGGCTGCCTCCTGCATGCCCCCTACTGGGGATTGAGCCTGCAACCCAGCACATGCCCTTACCGGGAATCAAACTGGTGATCTCTTGGTGCATGGTTCAAAGCTCAATCACTGAGCCACAATAGCTGGACGGGAGTTACAGTTCTTAAATAAAGCAGCTCTGGGAACTGCCAGAAGATGGACCTTAATTGCACTGTGACAACAAAACCTTGTAATTCACTAGCAATTAAATCCTGGCACACGTCCTATTCATTATCTAGGACTCATAGATTTCCTTTCCTCACAGACATGCAATTGCCATTCCAATTTTCATTCTAAAATGGCATTCCACAGCAAGACACTAGGGGAAAGCTAGGGACTCAGAACCTAGGGAGCTGGAAAAATCTAGTTCCCACACTTGGTGGTAATCAACAATAATCACACTTTGTCTAAGTCTCAGGGACAAAGGGAACACCTACTAGTTCTTTCATCTTAGATGAGTCAATTAACCTCTCTGTGCTCATATCATTTGTCAAATGGTGATAATGATTACTATTTTCATATTTTGTAAGCCTGCTAGGAGCTAAAAGGATATAAAAGCATTTTTCAAGTTGCATGATTCTGCAGCCCTCGAAGGACACCTTTTCAACCCTTTCCAGCCTCACTGTGCACACATGCACCTGCTCCCTCCTGCTAAGTAGACTTACTCTGATCTGCCCTGACATTCCTTAACTGCCCCATGCCAAACTGCCATGAGAAAGCTTGTTTATTCATTTAGCCATAAATACATATTATGAGCCTGTGCTAGGAGAGACAGCCCTGCTCTCGTGTCATTTTTGGTTAATCCTCATCTGAGGATTTTTAGAGACAGTTAAAGGGAGGGAGAGGGAGAGAGAGAGACACACTGACTAGCTGCTTCCTACACGCACCCCTACGGGGTCAGGGATTGAACCTACAACCTAGGTACATGCCCTTGCCTGGGAATCAAATCCAAGACCCGTCGGTGTGTGGGCTGATACTCCAACCACTGAGCACACCAGCCAGGGCACTGCTCTCTTGTCTTCACATCAGAAAGCTGATAATAGCGGCAGAGTAAGAAATGGAATCCAAAGACCCCACTCCTAGGTTCAAATGCCCTATCAACTGTTAGTCACTCTCTTTGGTTTGTGACTCAGTCATTTTTTAAAAAAAAATTATTTGTATTGATTTCAGAGAGGAAGGGAGAGGGAGAGAGATAGAAACATCAATGATGAGAGAATCATTAAACGGCTGCCTCCTACAAGCCGCACACTGGGGATCAAGCCTGCAGCCCAAGCATGTGCCCTGACCCGGAATCCAACCGTGAATTCCTGGTTCATTGGTCGACGCTCAACCACTGAGCCATGGAGGTTGGGCCTCAGTCTCCTTTTTCTGAGGCTCCCTGGATAAAAAAGATTGAGTTTTTTGTTTTTTGTTTTTCTATTTAGCCAAGAATCAGATTTAGTGTGTAAGGACCAATGAACTCAGAAATGAGACTGGTGGGTGCAGCCAAGGAAGGTCAGCTGGAGATGAAAAGGGCCCAGGTCTGCACGGGATGCACTTTAGGCTACAAAGATTGAGTTTTAATAGAGGGAGCATTTTCTTCTGCTTAAAGCGAAAGAAGTGAGGAACTAGGAAAATTTTTCTTCCACCCTCCTCACTAAATGGCACTCTACACAGTTCTTTAGCCATTTGTCTTTGGCCATGGTTGGGCCTACTTGCTCTCTAGACCTCAGTGATGGTTGATTTATTTCTGTGTGTTTGTTTACACAAGGAAATACTGGTTGACAATGGATTTAATAATGCCAAATGGGCACTGGCTAATACTCTTGGAAAACGATTTAGCCCTAGGATCCAATCAACTGGAAGTGATTCCCTAGGCGTAGGTATGTGATCATTTTTTTAAAAGCACTGAATAAAAGTATGTTATGGTATTTGGGAAATTTTATTTATTATTTTTTCCTGGTAAACTGCAAAGGAGTAAACACAGAGGAGACCCTAATTCACCCAGTTCAGTTACAGGGGAGCAATCTGAGACTCATCTGAAGGAACTGACCTATTCATAGTGTGGTCTTTTGATGTGTCTATTTAGCATTAATCTAGGTGTTGCTGTGAAGGTATTTTGTACAGGTGATTAAAGCCCATAATCGGGTCGAAACCCGGGTTTGGCTTAGTGGATAGAGCGTCAGCCTGCGGACTGAAAGGTCCCAGGTTCGATTCCGGTCAAGGGCATGTACCTTGGTTGAGGGCACATCCCCAGTAGGGAGTGTGTAGGAGGCAGCTGATCGATGTTTCTCTCTCATCGATGTTTCTAACTCTCTATCTCTCTCCCTTCCTCTCTGTAAAAAATCAATTAAAAAAAAAAAGTCCATAATCGGTTTACTTTAGTATCCTAGATAATTTGGATGGGCCTGCTTAATCAGTCAGAGGCCTAAAATTCAGAACTGATGGTCCCACTGAAGAAATTCTGCCTGGGGATAGCAGCTTCAGCCTGTGCCTGAGAGTTTCAGCTAGCCCTTCCAGTTGGCCCGCCCTACAGATTTCAGACTTGCCTTGCTAACTCCCATAACCACGCAAACCACTTTCTATCAATAATATAAATATGTATATAAATACGGAAAATAAATTTCTACTGGTTTTTCTCTTTGGCTGAACCCTGGCTGATATAAACGGTCATTGAGTGAGTTAGCTCCGTGGCCCTAGAAGCCAGATTTCTCCCTGTTATCACCCTTCTGACTCTCCAGCTTTTCCTCTAATCCAGCGGTTTTCAACCTGTGGGTCGAGACCCTTTCATAGGGGTCATCTAAGACGATCAGAAAACACATATATAATTACATATTGTTTTTGTGATTAATCGCTATGCTTTAATTATGTTCAATTTGTAACAATGAAATTGGGGGTTGTGGCATTAGGAAGGTTGAGAACCACTGCATCTGAATTACCTTGCCTTTAAATTTGAGAGATCCGAGGAAAATAGGAAAAATTGAAATTAGAGGTAAAGAGGCAAAAAGACCCTCATTGGGTTTGGAAAGCTAGAAAAGGAAAAAATGTTTATGAAGCCCCAAATGTCACCTCTCATAAGGAACCTAAAAGGCAGGAAGAGAGAGAATTGACTCTGAGAAGCCTGAGGGACTAATGAGAACTTCTCAAATGAGGACCCATGTTATCAGCACACCTGAGGTTTACCTCTGCTCACCACGTTCCCGCATTCTAACCAAAGTGCAGATCCTCTACCTGCCCGGAGTGCTGTGTGGATCTCCAGGCTGGAGCTGAGCTCACAAAACACTATTTGACAAAGTGATTCACAGCTTGGCTGCAATCTGCATTTCTGCTTATGGCTTGGAGCATAAAGAAAGTGCATGACTGGCTCAGGAATCCTAAGAGCAAACCAGACTAGAGCCTAAGGAATGGAGAATGCCTATTCCCAAGCTAACCTAAGCATTAGAGAATGGTTCTAGATGCCAACTACTCACCTTTCCTGATCCACTGAGGTGTCTCTGGAAATCCTCCACCACGGCCACGGCTTCCTCGCCACTCTTGGGGTGATGCAGCTGCACCCAGATCCGGAGCTGGCTGGGCAGGATGCTCAGGAACTGCTCCAGCACCAGCAGCTCCAGGATCTGCTCCTTGGTGTGTACCTCTGGCATCAGCCACCTACGGCAGAGCTCCCGGAGCCGGTTCAGTGCCTCCTGGGGCCCAGACATCTCATGGTAATACAACTGCCTGAAGTGTAGCCGGAAAATTTCACAAACAGGAAGGTGGTTCTTTTGGAGGCTGCAGCCTTGCCCCCAGGTCTGGCTTCCTGGCTCCTGCTTCTGGAGCACAGCACTCCCAGGGACGAGGCCTAAAGTTTCCCTGCCTGGGGTGGCCATTGTGACCCCAAGGAGAAGCTTGTTCCAGCAGCAGTTTGTCTGATTAAAATGATGGTCTATAATTCAGGTCCCAGGAGCTGTTTTTCAAAGTTGGGATGTAGGGTGAGGGGAGTGTCACCTACAGAAACATAAGAGAGAAATCAAAGTCCTCGGAGTGTTCAGCCCCAGGCTGATAACAGACCCTCCACATTTAAAAAGCAAAGCTCCATGCCGTAACCGGTTTGGCTCAGTGGATAGAGCGTCGGCCTGCGGACTGAAAGGTCCCAGGTTCGATTCCGGTCAAGGGCATGTACCTTGGTTGCCGGCACATCTCCAGTAGGGAATGTGCAGGAGGCAGCTGATTGATGTTTCTCTATCATCGATGTTTCTAACTCTCTCTCTCCCTTCCTCTCTGTAAAAAATCAATAAAATGTATTTAAAAATAAACAAACAAAGCTCCAGAAAAAAAAAGACAGCAAGCACACAGCCGGGGCAATTAAAGCATCTTTCCAAGTGACTTACCTTCTTAAACTTTCAGTGCCTCCCTAGAAGATAAAACCTAAATATCTATACCTTGCACTCTCGGCCCTTCACAACAGTCTTAGACCTCTGTTCTAGCCACACTCTCTACCACTCTTCCCAGGTACCCAATCTAGAAAGATAACAATGATCTTCAAATGTGGGAAATGCAAGATGATTCAAAGGGTACATAACACTAAGTTGTTATTTAACTCATATTTAGTGCATATTTTATAATATGCATTAAATTTGTAAAAGAGCACCTATCTTTAACTTACAAACAAACCTATGTTGGAAGTGTATGCTCAACACTCTTCTACTCTTTTCTATTGAGCTAGAAATGCACAATAAAGTTGGGACTAAAGCTCTAGAGACACAGCTAAAATACTCTTTCCCTGTTTGGATTTTTCTTCTTTTCTGCTTTTAAAAAAGTTTTTATTGATTTTAGAGAGGAAGGAAAAGGGATAGAGAAAAACATCAATAGATAGAATCGACTGGCTGCCTCCTGCATGCCCCCTACTGGGGATCAAGCCCACAATCCGGGCATGTGCCCTGACTGAGGCTTAGGGTGAGCTCCTGACTCAGGGGTTGCTGCTAAACTACTGGGCCACACCGGCTGGGCTTCCTTTCAACTTTTGAAAAACTCCTACTTATTTGTCAAGACCCAAATGCCATTTTCTCTTGAAGGCTTTCCTGATTGCTTCATACAGGAAGAGGGCTGGCAGCCTCCTTCTCTGACCTCTCACTATAACACTGTACTTTAACTAGTTTATATACAACCCAACACACCCTCCAAACTGCTGGATGGCCATCAAAGGAAAAGAACCTGACGGAGTCAGACGATGTCAGACCTTTTCTGTCCTGGCCAGTGTGGCTCAGTTGGGTGGACACTGTCCTGTGGACTGAGGGGTCGTGGGTATGATTCCTAGTCAGACACATGACCGGGTTGTGGGATTCAAGTCCCCGAGGTGGTCAGTGCATACGGCTGGTATGGGAGGCAACTGGTTGATATTTCTCTCTCACGTCGATGTTTCTTTCTCTAAAGTCAATGAAAGAATATCCTCTGGTGAGGATTGAAAAACAAAACAAAACATGCCCTGGCTGGTTTGGCTCAGTGGCTAGAGCATGGGCCTGTGGACTGAAGGGTTCGATTCCCAGTGGGGGGCATGCAGGAGGCAGCAGATCAATGATTCCCATCATAGATGTTTCTCTCTCTCCCCCTTCCTTCCTCTCTGAAATCAACAAAAATATAAAACACACACATACACACACACACCAGACCTTTTTCTCCTTAATCTCCCTTCCCTAGAAAACCTTCCTGATCTTGATCTGCCCAGGCTTAAGTGTGGTTATTGCCTCAGTGAGGCCACAGTACCTTTTTCATTCAAACTTCTACTAAAGCAGTTCTCCTATTTTGGGGTTTACATGGCTGTCTCCCCCACTTTCTGGGTGGACTCAGAGGGCAGGGCTGGTTTCCAGTCATCTTTGCATATGTGTGTACATGGCACACAGAAACACGGTTGGTAAACGAATGAATGTGGTTCATTTAACTAATACTGAAGTAGGGGGGAAACTTTTATTCAGTTTATATAGGGTGAAACTTTGAAAATCAGCCCTCTAGTGGTAACGAGGGCATCTGTGCTCTGCTTCCCATTCCAATTCTGCAACTGGGTACCCTGGGCAAGCTACTTCTCTCTAGGTCTCACTTTCTTTATAAACGACGAAAATAACCTGTGAGCTCTGGGAGCCCACACATATTTAAGGCATGGCCGTTTCCCACTTCCGTTACTGTTCCGAACGCTCAGCGGCTTATCTCATCTGGATTTCTGCGGGTCCAAGTCACACGCCACGTTTGAAATCCCGGCGGCGTCTGACCCAGGGTAAAGCTGGGGAAACGCCTATCTGCACTCTGCGCTCGACCAGGCGCCTGCGACGCCGCTCCCCGGGCCACGTGTGCCCTGTTCATCGCTGCACCCGCAGGGCCCGGCTCCGTGTCGGGCACAGCTGGTCAGGGAATGCGACAAAGAGGAGGCTGCTTCCGAGCGCCACAGGGACGGTACCGCCGGCCGCGGGGGCGAAGCGTGGGCCTGGCCAGCGTGGCCGACTTGGGCTGTGGGCGGCCGCGGCTCCAGTCTAACGACCCCGGTCCCAGCAGCCCCCCGTTCCCCGCCCCGGGCAGCCCCCCGTTCCCCGCCCCGGGCAGCCCCTCGTTCCCCGCCTCCGGTCCACTCACTGGGAGTACCGCTGCGACGCCGCCTCGGCGCACAACACCTTGCTCGGTGGTAGAAGCAAAAAACAATGGCCGAACCGGAAGTAAGAGAGGACCCACTTCCGGTCTCTCCAGGAACCCGGAAGTCTCGGCGTCGAAGGTGGGCTCGCGCGCGCCTCGGCAGCCGGGAGAGCGGCGGCAGCTGCGTTGCCGGGACTACTCGCTCCTCCCAGGCGGAGCCAGCCACCGCGAGGGGAGCGGAGCGGGGCCTCAGGCTGCATTTGCGGTCTCAGACCATTCAAGGTCTTGGGGACCAGACGCCCCCTAGCCCTGCCCCCTCCCCTCTGGGTGGCCTTGGTAAAGATACCCAACCTGTGCGTCTTGATACCCAACAATCTAGAAAATGCAGAGCACAGTGTGTGCCACATGCGGCTATGAGCACTGCAGACACTACATGGCAAACGGCCTGGCATATCCTGAGCCTGCAGCCAGTTATTATTATACTATATAGTTATTATTATACTATGTAGGTTAGCGATTTTCAACCGATGCGCCTCAAGAATTTTTAAAACATGCAATACTTGACTATTTAGTCAGGGACACTACCTCTTTCCCCTTAGGTTGTCAAATGGAGAAATAACAACAGCTAACACAATGATAGCCAACAGCCTGGATCCAGTGTGAATGAATCAGAATATACCTATTTTTGTCGTATTAAAAAAATATTTTGGGGGGGTGTGCCGCAAAATGTTAGTAATGAAATGAAAAAGGCTGAAAATCACTGCTGTATATGATGCTCAGGGCATTTTCACCTACTCTAAGTCTCAGTGAAGTGAACAACTTACTAATGAGGAAACAGGCTCAAAGACTGTGGTATTTTGGCCGTAGATGTGGTTAATCTTCCCTAAAACAGCACCCCAACTTTGGTGGCCAAGGAATGGATAAAAAGTGGGACAGTATGGGGGCAACATACTCTAGATGCAGTTGTCGAGTATCTAAGAGGCAGGAGCAGGTTATGAACAGTTTCCTACTGCTAATATGACTGAGCAGTTCCCAAGGGCACCATTTCTGGGTGTATTGCCATGGGTGAAGGGTAAAGGCTAAGACGAGCCACTTTCCAATGGAGTTAACTATGTATTTTACGTATCTCATTGTAGCCCAGCAAGTAGGTCCTTACAGGTTCTGAAATATCAGTTTCCTGGGATGTTCGGGGATGAACAATACCCCAAGTGTTCTGGGCCAACCTCTGGACCACCTGACATGTGTCCCTCACGTGTCTGCACAAGCCAAGACAGAAACAACAGCATCAGAAGACCTGCTGCAGAGCTTTCACAAAGTTAGAGGAGGTTTAGCCTAACAAGTGACCTTCTCATTTCAAGGTCACCCTCTACATTGGAAACCTCACAGGGAGATCTTGACTATCTGGTCCTACCTTCTGCCTGTCATTGCCATTGGACGTGGCATGTTAATCCATTAAGGCCTCAGGGACTCAGGGTTCTTGAGAAGGAAATCTCTTGAGGCCACACACGTAGAACTTGCTCAAGCTCTTCTGTGATGGAAAATTTTGTTTGAAATCAGATAAAACCCTGCCCGGCCAGTGACCCTCAGTGGTTGAGCATTAACCCACGAACCAGGAGGCCACGATTTGATTCCCAGTGTAACGTAGTCCACCGTGTGCTGCAGATAGCCAATTACACTAACACCAGGGTGCAGTGAAAGAAAGTGGCTTTTATTTACAGCTCTACACAATGGAGAAAGGACAGCTTGTGTTGGAAAAACCCAAACTCTCCCATCCAGGGTTTGGGGCAGGTTGTAAGGCTTTAGAGCAGTTCTCAACCTTCCTAATGCCGCGACCCTTTAATACAGTTCCTCATGTTGTGGTGACACCCAACCATAAGATTACTTTCGTTGCTATTTCATAACTGTAATTTTGCTACTGTTATGAATCATAATGTAAATATCTGATATGCAGGATGTATTTGCATTGTTACAGATTGAACATAATTAAAGCATAGTGATTAATCACAAAAACAATATGTAATTATATGTGTGTTTTCCGATGGTCTTAGGCGACCCCTGTGAAAGGGTCATTTGAACCCCAAAGGGTCGCGACCCACAGGTTGAGAAACGCTGCTCTAGAGGAACAGGTATGCAGAAACGCTGGAGGGGGAAGTTTTAATTGCAGGATTTTGGAGCTTGGCCATATATATATAGTATGTCAGCACCAGGTCTTCCTTGACAACAGACTCCTCACTTCTGAAAGGGTTCTGATATTCAAATTCTAGTGATGTCCCTGGAAAGGAACTTGGGGTAGTTCAGAAGGGTGGAGCAGAGCGCCTGAGAGATCAGTCAGCAACATGCAGGGGCTAGCGGCTAGCCACTAGGAAATACACCAGAAGGTAACAAAAGCAGCTACCTGGCCCTTCCACAGCAGATTATAGCAGCCTCTGCAATGGCAACACGTGCTTTATGGCATTGGCTGCACACCCTCCAGGGTCTCTGGTGCTGTCGGTAAAAGACATTTGCTCTGTTGGAGGCTGGGCAGTCCCCTGATCTTGCTTCAGCTTTTTCAAGCGGCCTATCCACCCACAAACCTACTTCAGGATTCCACATACTGGCCAATAGCATCATGTTCACAACTACATGAGCTGGTTAGAACTCACCCAAAGGAGAAAACAGGCAGAGGGGTGAGAAGGTAAAGGTTTGCGTGCCTGTGGCTGGGAATAAGAAAGTACTTCTCCCCCCCTACCGCCCCCCTCCCCCCCTCCGCCCGACCCCGGTTGTGGTGGTGATGAGGGAAGAGGCTAATCCTGGAAACTAGCATCTGGTTCCCCTCATTGAAGAGGGCCCCAGGGAGTGATGAGTGACCTCTTAACAACTCCTTCCTGCCAGGACCCATGAGCGGTCAGTTAGATCTCACTGGTCCGCAGCTATTTTGACCCCTAGCTCAGGATCCAATTCTTATCTGGAGGCAGGGAAGCGGGTGGGGAGCGGAGGGGAGGGAGGCCCCAAGGGCAGCCCTGCACATACATTGGGAGGGGAGTGGGAACACAGGCCAAGGCTGATAGAGCTGTGGGCCCGAATGGGCATGGGGGAGTGGAGGGCAGGCGCGTTGTGGGGGAGGTGGGGTGAGTGGGAGATGAGCCCCTGATGGCTTAGACAGCGGCAGCCCAGCACTGCCCTGGAACCGGGGAGAAGCCGAGACGTTGGCCCTCCCGGGTTCCTAGAGAGGCCGCCGAGGGCTGGACGGTGACGCGTGCGTGATTCGATCCCGCAGCGAAGCCGGCGCGCGGCGAGTGGCCAGGTGGGGGCGTCGGAAGCTGCCGTGCGGCGGGGTTGCGGGAGGGCGGCGGGGGCGCTTGCCTGCCCTGCGGGGGGTCGGCGGCGGCTGAGGCCCGGCCTGGAGGCTGCGCCCGGGGCCCGTTGGCTGGTCCTGGACCCCGTGCCCGCAGCGCCGAGGGCGGGTCTGGGAGCGCTTCGCCGCCCGGGGCGCCCCGCCCGGAGGAGACCATTTGGAGGAATGGTTTCCGCGCTTTCTCTCCTCTCCTAATTGTGCAAACAAAGCTGCTCATTGCCGACGGCTAGGGACGCGGGTGAGTGACAGAAAAGTAAAAGGAACTGCAGTCTGGCGATGTTTTCGTCGGGAGGCGTCCTGATACTGAAAATTTTACGCGTTGTTACGCAAACTCATAAACATATATTATGAAATGGGGTCCTACTATTGCTTTTAAAAACTGATTCTGTAAAACAATGCTGTGATGAAATATACATAGCATGTACCAAATGATACATAAATATTTACTATTTTAGCCATTGTAAAGTGTATAGTTCAGTGTCATTATGTACATTCATACTGATGCTTATAGGAAAATTATAGTATCTTCCATTTGTAGAATGCGTTTGTTCATATGCTGGTTAATTTTGGTGCTAGCATTATGATACCACGAAAACATGTTTCCAAGTAGAATTAAAAGAAAACATTTTGTTTGCTATTTATTTCCCCATAGTACACAGTGCACGAGACTTAAATGCTGTATTCACTGTTGTGACCTTAGTGCCTGATACATACTACTTGCTCATTAAATTTTATTAAATTAATGAAAGAATGTATCCCAATCAGAATAAGAATGGTCAGAATTTAATGTCCTTGATTGCTGAGTTAATCCTAAATTCAGGGTGAGGCAAAAGTAGATTTACAGTTGTATGAGAAATAGTTTCTTCTTCTTTTTTTTTTGTTTTACCATGCAACAAAACTTTTATTAACATTTTGAACAGATTCAGTCATTACTAAACTGGTAATTTCTAAACTTAAATTGGGGAAACAGTTTATTCTTGTATTATTATTAATTATTACATTATTTTACATATAAGTATAAACCTACTTTTGTCCCACCCTGTGTTTAAGATATAAATCAGAAAAAAAACAGTAACAACTCAAACTTCTTCAGTTTGAAACATTTAAATTTTGAGTAATTAGAGACTTACAGAAGGTTGCAGAACTATACAGAGTTCCCTTATCTTCTTTACCCAGTTTGCTGTAAGTCAATATCCTGCATAATCATACTACAACCATCAAAATTAAGAAATTTACAGTGGTGTAATACGGTTAATGAAGCTGATTACTTTAATCAGAATTCATCAGGTTCTGACTATTGACCCTTAGTGTTCCAAGATGCAGTCTAGAATCCCTCATTTAGGTGTCATGTCTAGTTCTCCTTCAAACTGGCAGGTCCTCTGAATCTCTCAGTCATTCCTTGTTGTTGTTTTTTTTGACATTGATATTTTGAAGTATTTCATATTTATATTTTTAGAATGACCATCAATTTGCTTTTGTTATATGTTTTCTTCTTTTTTGAGAATGATGTTCATATGTCTTAATCTAACCCTGCGGTGACTGCCAGATTTTACCTCTGTAAAGATAGTATCTTTCCCTTTGTAATTAGTATTTTGAGAAATATATGTGTGTGTATATTTATATATATATATACATATATATATATGTGTATATATATTTGCACACTAGAGGCCTGATGCACGAAAATTCATGCAAGAGTAGGCCTTTCTTCCCCCAGCTGCAGGTACCGGCTTCCTTCCAGCACCCGGAATCCAGG